CCACAACTCTATCCATATTCAGCAAATCAGATTTTCAACAACACATTCCACAATTCTATTCCTTTCTATTCCCCCTCCCAATTACTACACTAATGAAGCAGCATAATGAAATAATAGAGAGTGTAGCAGGCCAAAGTTCCTAAAAAGGAATATGACTGCAGGCCTTACATCATGAGTTGCTCTCTGTATCTCATGATGTTTGAAGGGCATCTGTTGCATTGGATGGAGGATGAATCTCAGCTGGAGCTTTTGGTGGGGGGGGACTTGATGGTGTGGTTGGACTTGGGTGTCTCCTCCAGGGCTTATTTCTTAAAAATTGAGGAATGAGTTAGGGATGCAGAGATTCTCCCACCCATTTGCTTTTCCCTTCCTTGTTTCCCCAGATTCGGACAAAATGGATTCCGATGGTGAATGGTGGCATTGAGAGGTGTGCCAGGTATCTAATCTAAAGTCCTTCAGAGCAGGTTGGGGTGTGCATATAAAGAGAATGTGTACAAGATGTTTTACAAATGGTATTTTCCACCGGCAAGGTTGACAAAGACGTTTAAAGACAAATTAGCAAAATGTTGGAAATGCCACCAGCCACCCGGGTTGTATTATCTATCATATGTGGTGGATATGCATAAAAGCCCAAAAATATTGGATAAAAATATGTACATGGTTGGAGGTGATGATACAACAGCATATTGATCTGAAACCTGAATTATTTTTGTTGGGAATTTTACCAGAAATTTACGGTAAAGAAATATATACTTGATAATTACTGCAATAACTCCAGCTAGGATTGGATTTGCATAAAATTTGGGGGGGGGGGTGAAGCGATCCCTATATGGGTGAGAATGTGATTAGAAAAATATTAGAATGTGCATAAATGAATAGGTTGAAATTAAACGAATTAATGAATACTTGAAATTAAAGAGAAGGAACAATCTGATTATTATGACATATGGGAATTATTTTATCAATGGTTTAGAGAATAAATATGAAAAGTGGAAAAAAGCAGAGGAGTGAAACAGAGAAAATGTTTTTAACAAACTTAAATAAGTAAAGAGGATTGTTATAGTAAGGTATGGTATATATTAGTATTAGTATTAAGGTAAGAATAGATAAAATAATAAATATGGCAGTAAACTGTAATGGTTATGGTATAAAATATTTGCACAAAATAGATGTTTACACATTGTTTAATGGAAGATGGTGTTTGAATTAAAATAAAAATTTAAAAAGTGGGTTGGAGTGTGTTGGCTCTCATGGGGCCCTGTTAATAAATCCCTTTGGGGGGGTGCTCAGTTGCGCAGCGACTTATGGATTCTGGATCTGTTGGGCAGTGATCTTTTCTCCCCATGCCATCCCGCTCCACCCCCTTTCTGCCGCCTTCACTACAGCCTCTCCCCCTGTTGTGGCCCACCGGCAGCAGAATCAAACAGTGAGGAGGTTGGGGAGGAGCATGGGCCAGACCTGGGGGCTGAGGAAAGCTCAGACGAGGGCTCTGCATCAGAGGCAGAGAGGAAATTAGACAGCAGAGAAACAGCTGGAGCCTGTTCCCAGTGTGCGCATGCACAGAGCTGCCAGAAGACAAGAACAGCAGAAACCAGGATCGACTTGGGAGTAAAGCCACACCTTGGAGGTGATTGGCCCCTCCCATAGGAAACAAAAGAGGAGCAAATGGGGAGGGGGCTTTTGCAGGAAAAAAATCGTTCCTTCAGTCGTTTCAAGAGTGGAAAGTTCTGTTTATAAGACACTCTGTGCCAAGTTTTGCCTTGCCCTGCGTTTGGAAACTAGTTATCTGGCAGCTCTCGAGGCGAGATAAGATTCGTTTTGATAAATATTCCTCTGAAAGGAGACTATTTCCTAAAGCCTTGTTGACTGTGAATGAAAGGAACTCACAGTCGTGTAAATAAAAGGGGTTTTGCCAGGACCCAGAGTCTGCTCCATGCTTGTTAAGGGAGCCTGGGTCAGAACACTCCCGTCCTTGATGGGTTTCTCTGAAACGTTTCTTCTTTTCAAGAATCCCCATCATTCTTGTGGGAAACAAGTCCGACCTGCATACCGGGAGCTCCATGGAAACCATTCTGCCCATCATGAACCAGTTCTCTGAGATTGAGACCTGCGTGGAGGTGAGGAACTGTCCGGATGTTGGCAGGGAAATTGTACATACTGTATTTTTCGGACTATGAGACGCACTTTTTTGTCTCCCAAAAGTGGGTGAAAATTTTTGTGCTTCTTATAGACCAAATTTTGTCGAAACCCCGTTCACCAGCCGGCCATTTTTTGTACTCTGCACGGCCTTTTTCGGGGCTTTTTTCAGTCCATTTTCGAGACTCCTTTTGGCCCCTTTCTTAGGCTTTTTTCGGCTTATTTTTTCCAAAACAAAACAGGCCGAAAAAAGCCTCAAAAATGGGCTGAAAAAAGCCTCAAAAACAGGCCGAAAAGCTTCAGAAAAGAGCTGGAAAAAGCCTCGAAAATGAGTAGAAAAAAGGCTGGAAAGGGGGCAAAAAGGCCCCCAAAAGGACCAAAAATGGGGCACACAGAGGCCAAAAACCTTTTTTTGTTCTTGCTTTCCTCTTCTAAATTTAGGTGTGTCTTATAGTCAGGTGCGTCTTATAATCTGAAAAATACGGTACATTTGATTGGGTGATGGAAAACTTGTTTATGATGGGTCCAGAACACCCTGGCCCATGGCCCACTCTCCGGGCAGAGCGGGGAGGGGGGAATGGGACAACTTGACACAGGCAACTTGCTGCAGCCAATTCACCGTGCCCAACTTGCCTTGGGGACAACTTGCTGCAGGACAGTTTAGCAATTCTATGTCATTATTTATAGGGACGTGGTGGCTCAGTGGCTAAAACGCTTTGCTGGTCAATCAGAATGGTCAGCAGTTTGGCGGTTCAAATCCCTAGCGCCGTGTAACAGAGTGAGCTCCCATTACTTGTCTCAGCTTCTGCCAACCTAGCAGTTCGAAAGCAGATAAAAATGCAAAAAAAAAAAAAAGGAACACCCCTTTTTGGGGGGGGAAAACGGTGCCGGGGCGCTCTCCGCGTTGTT